CGTTTTCGATGACAGCACGGGACAAGAAATCGTTCAGGACCGGTGCCACCATGTCGTCCGGCTTGTTGTCTGGCCAGTCATGCATCTTCTGCCAGCTCTCTAGAGCCTCTCCCCTGCACTGGTTCTCGTGCTTGAAGTACTTCTCGGAGAACCGAATGACAATATCATCGGCCTCCCATGGCTCCTTGGCCTTGTTGGCTGTCGGGTCAAACGGCTCTAGGGCGCTGAAGCCATCGCCGCCATCGTCGGATGACGCGCTGTCGTCGGGAAAGGTGCTGCCGCCCCCCTCCCCTTCTTCCGGCTGAGCTGTGAAGCGCTGCCGCTTCTCTGCAACCGGTCCCTCGCCAGTCGAAGCTCGCCGCTTCCTCGAGGGTTCTGAAGACGTCAGTTGGTTGACCAGCAGTTCTTGAAGTCCGTCCAGCTTATCTGAAAGCAAAGAGAAATTCTGCTCTAAGGCAGATATACGTACGGCACTGCTGTCACCATTCTTCTCTTGAGTCTCCAAAAAGACTTCTTCCTCGCTCTTCTTCTCGAGTTGAGAGTCGACACGTGTGTCTTTCTCTTCCTCATGAAGTTCTGCAGACTAGATTCCGCCCGCCGTGGACTCCACGTCGTCGCCCGGGGCCGTAACGGGCCGCAACTTGGGCGGCTGTGAATGCTGTGAAGAACTATCATGCCCGCCCCCAGGTGGGGAGGGGGGCGCCATGTGCTCGGTTTTGGACGCCGTCCTCTTTCGGCTGGCGTGCCTCGAGGAGGAGCGCGAGCGTTCCTCCCGTTCCTCGGAAGCTCTTGAACTCTTGCGTCGTCTGTCCTCGCGCTTCGAGCCCATTTTTACCAAGAGAAAACACCGGGGGTGTGTTGCCAGAGGCTCAAAAAATAAAGACTGACCAGTGCGCATGCGCAGCAAGGAATCCTGGGAGTTTCATTCTGAGAGCTACCAAGTGAGAGATGGGGGTGGTCAGGCCCACTACACCTTATGTCATTCCACTGAAGGCTGACATACGAGGGAATGCGGAGACAATTACAGGTTACCAACATTCCAAATTCAATGATTGACATGTTAAACACAATTGTAAATTCCCATCATCTTTGCAACTGGAACAAAATGTCTGAAACTGATCCCAGGAGGTTTGGTAACCTAGCTAAGATTCCTCCAGTCCCAACTAATGTGCTAGTAGAGCAGCTCAGGTCGTGGACAGACCACACAGTGGTCATTAACTGCTTAGGGTCAGGGTTGGTCTCTACAGTAGCCTACACAGCCACCTACTTCATACAAACAAATTAAACCAACCAACCATTTATGCTAAACATGTTGCCTTAGCTGGGTGACAAGGCGAGAGAAAACATATCTACTCACTTGATATGTCCATCCTTGGCTTTCCACACTGCCCTGTCCTTGTGCTCGTTGTAGTCTAGGGCAGCAAGCTGGCACCTGGCCTCGTAGACCGGGGGGCTGAAGGCGTACCTCTTAGATGCATACATCAGTATGTGATTCTGGAAGGACTCCAGGTCTGATGTCGTTCTGGAACATAATAGATTTTCAACATGTCTACAATTGGCATGCTTTGTTCAAACTTTTTTTTAAGATTGTTGTCAATAGTTACTTGTAAAACTTGATTAAAAAAATGTCCTATATACATAAAGAACTGGATATAGGGAAACAGAAAATGTGTGATAAAAAAGTGTAAGAAAAAAACGACATGTATCACCATTTTAGCACGAAAAGGGACATATGTCATACATAAATAAGGGATACATAGGGACACCAAGATATGCAATTACACTCACCGGAAGCGTAGGTACTTGTGGGTGGTCTTCAGCCACCTTGGATTTAGTATGATCGTTGCCAATTTCTTGTGGGCAGGGGAACCAGACACGAGCCAGGTTTTCGTCCGGGGAGTGTCTGCACTGATTGGGTTATGGTCACACTGACCCATGGCCCATGTGTGCACATCGCACACGTGGTGCAAGACACCTTTCCACAGTACCTAGAGACAAAACCATGTGAATACTTGATATGTCATTATGAGTAAGGTTTGTTATACAGATATGGATATTTTACAGTGACACATGAGACACGACTTAAGCTCATGTCTAGCTGCATTTAGTGATATATTAGTGATAACAATGTCACTGTGGGGGAGGAGGCTTTGATAAGTGTAAGATAGATAGTAAGTAACTTTTCTAAGTAACTAAGTAACTTTTCACATTGACTATGATCCAAGACTTCTGCTGATGCCATAAAGAAATGTGCCATGGACTTGTGTGTTTGTATAAGACTCGGTACTCACAATGAATTCGCCAAATGTACTGGCCTTGTTGCAGCACCACCAGAAGTGGTTGATGATGTCCCTGGTCCACTGCTTTAGGTCTGTACAGGACTTCTCCTGTCCAGCCTATGGCAAAAAAAGAGACAATCATAAGTACATTGTGCCTCAAATACTGTAGAAGGTACCTGCTTTCTAACATAATACTTGTGATCAATACTGTTACACCTTTTATAGTTTATGGCATATCAATAGTGCAGTATTT